CCGCTGGCGCTTTAAGGTCATGCGGTGCTGGAGGGAGGGAGGTTGCGGGGAGGGAGAAGGGAGGTCGTTCTGCAGCATCCCCAGCTATGGCGTGGTGTGGTGGTGTTGTTTCTGAGAATTTTAAAAAATAACGCTTCCCCCATGGCCGCTGGTGCCTTAAGGTCATGCGATGGGAGGGACGATGCGGGGAGGAGGCATGAGAGAGAAGGGAGGTAGGGAGGGGAGCATGTGTAGACGTGGTGCGCGGCGTACCCGTTATGGAGGTATTTGAACTGGGGCTGAGCGACCGCGTGAAGGCGCGCACTATCTCCTTCTGACTCGCCGTGAACTTTCCGTACCAGATGACATACACGTTGATCGGCGCGTGCATCACCCCGCAGTACTGCGGACTACTCTGACACTGCTCACTGTCCCACCACGGCTTTATTCCTATCGGGCCCGCGAACGGCTTTAAGTTAGTATCTCCCGCAGCGCCAGCCGCGCTGTTTGATGGAAATGACGCGTTAGCGGCGAGACCGGCGACGTCGGTTGATTGCGGCGGTGTTGCGTAGTAGTTCTTGGGCAAAGACACGCCGCGTCGCACGTTCTGACCCATGGGGGCGGTCATGGTGGGATAGAACCGCATGGGGCGGCGGAAAGGCGCTTCCCCGGCAGCCAGCAACTGCGCCATTCCCCGTCTGCTTCCGCCGATGCTACCGCTGCCACTGCTTTTGCCTGGTCCGCCTGCCGTATGCGCGCAAGACGACGCTACCAGCAGGAGCGTCGAGACGAGCAGAATACGGCGTCGCGTTTTTTCGTGATGCCACGTCATTGAGGACTGCTGCCACTTCAGTCTAGAACTTGTTTAGGGAGGCAAGATTCAGTTGTTAGGCAGCGAAGGTAGACAACGACTGTCTCAAATTCGTCCGCCGCAATGAGATGTGGTTGCGGGGAAAGACGCATGGCGTGCGCAATGGCTGCGCACGGAAAAAGCGGGAGAGAGGGGAAAGTGACGGTGGGAAGCAAAAAAGGGGGAATGGATGGGGGAAAAGGGCATTGACGGAATGCTTCGAGGAACGAAAACAGGGAGGCCGAGGGAGGGCGTGTGCAAGGACGTGGTGCAGTTCGCTTCTGATTGTGCATGATTGCCGCGATCAATGGCGATTAACGATTTCCTAGAAGTTACGTAGGAATTTGGGGGTCATCAGGGGCAAACGCTTTATCGCGATTAGGGTCTCGATCAGGCGCAATCGATTGCGATTATTTGCGATCTGTTGATTGGGTGAGATCGGGTCCCCTAACGAGCCACACGAGAAGTAACACCTCCGAGCGAACAATTGTTTTGGTAACAGCTGAACATTCGTGCGCTCGGATGGTGCAACTCTAAATGAGTTGGCAGCTTCTTTCGTTTTCTAAGTTCTGCGCAAGCAATCCGCGGAACCATCGTCCTTGCTGAAACATTCGTGGAAAGGGTTGGATGGTTTTGAAGGGATTGGATTGGATGGAAGGGGGTACGAGCAACCAGGAGCGTGAGGGAGCTTTGGAAATACAGTAACAGCTGACTGAATGAATTCCACGCGAGTCGCGCGGCGGCGATTGGATTTGCATACGCCACTAATTTCCAATCAGTAGGTCAACGAAACATTGTAGCTCCGATAGTTGTTTCTCACTATTGGAGGTAAACATTACATCTAGCAAAGGCAAAATAACGTAGAGTTGAACAATCCCGCTTCGTACAAACCCATGAATATGACTAGCTTGCGGCCATGGATCTTGTCAGGCGGTTTGGAAGCCTCAATGTCCACCTCAGCAAAGGCAGTTCCAACATTAAATGTTACCATTGGCATCGCCTTAACCCAGGAAACAATAAGATATACTCTTAATGTCTACACAGAAGACTTTGCATCTCCATATCCCAAGACCTTTCCCATTGACAATGGTTCTGCAGTTACGGCGTCTAACGGTGGTATTCTGCTTTCAAAAATACAACCAGCATGTTACTACATCCTAAGGTGGCTCATTGACAACTAACAAATCCCAGGGAATACCCAACATGCATGAAGCCAGTCCGAATGGCCCAGGCATTGAGGTTCCATCCTGCAGTGCGGTTTTTGGTCTAGGAAACCACAAAGCAGGCTCTCGCAATAATGGCCTTACTCCAGAACTTTGTCTGGTTGTGGTGGCTTTTTCTGTTGGGGCTAAGCCCTGCACGCGCCTGGTTTCGCGTGTAGCAGCTCTATGCGAAGTAACGATATTTCGCACACCGCATACCGACGCTTCGGTACACTCCAATTCGTGCATCTCAGTATGCACAATTCGACATTGGACCAGATTGGAGGGAAGTGGCGACATTGCACAAACGATTACGTGCAACTGTTAGTGTTGCAAGAACCTGCGCAACTACTCCTGTGCAGGTAGAAATACACCTGATGGTATTTTCACCTGAGTGCCAACCTGGAACCGCATACTAGAGTAGGTACTTGCACGTTCTCCTTGAACAATGTTCTTCATGAACAATGTTCTCGTAGAATGTTCTTGCACACGTCACTATGTTTCTGTATAAGGTTCATGTTGTTTCCGTTGTAATCAATTATTTTCGTTCCTTTCATCACTGCATAACAAGTTTGGCATCAGTATTCGGTTTCCAACAAGTTCGTAATCGGTTTACAAGCATCCGCTTTGCAACTCTGCGCCTAGGCTCTCCCACAATCGCATATTCTCCACTTGGTGCGGTGAGCGTGGAGGCACACTAGAACTTCAGATAGCCTCGTATACGATTGACGAAGTTGTCAACCTTGGGCCGGCATCCACTTCGATTCCGTATAGCAGGCGAGGGCGCCGCTACGGGAGTCATGGACCTAAAGGCGGAGGTTGCTGCTTTGCGGGAGCGCCACAGTCATGCCGAAATCAGTGATGTGGATTTGGAGCTGATGATCGAAGGAGCTCGAGCGAAGTGTGCTTGCTATCACCCTCCTTCTCGCGCTAAGGCGGAAATTGAGTCTGTATCTCCCCGTGCTAAAGACAACAACGTTAACCTCGATGGCAATGAAGGCGCAAGAGTTACGCGCGGTGAACTGCGAGGGGCCGTCAGAGTGAACACCTCGAGCGTTGGTGGAACGCAAGCGCAAGTCCTTCAGTCAGCCGCTGCAACAAGTGCGCGTAGTGACGTTCACGGTCGTCGCAACTCTGCACGACAAAGTGGTGGCGGGCCCTCGTGGACAGCGAATGCGTCAACTGTACGCGATGGTGGCACCGCTCCGGAACACAGATACTTCAAGTTCTCACTCGACAAGATCGTCGTGCCGAAAGTGCTTGAAGGCCGTCACTACTTGACAACGTGGGTCGAGTCCATTGAGCCGCAGTTGGAGATTGCGCAACTGAAGAAGTTCGTTGACGACACAGTGGAGGTGCCGCCTGAGGAGGACGCTGAGTGGTTTCATTCTGCACAGCTGTTGACGTTTATGGCCATCTCAAGGTGTTGCTCGCTGGTCGTCCAAGTTGCATTGAAGCCTTGCCGTCTTCAGGTGGACGCAGGTTTTCAAGCTTGGCATTCATAATGAAGACCTACAAGGCAACGGATAACCTTTACATCGGTCAGCTAGAGCAACGGTCGACAAATCTGGAGATGTGGGAGCACGAAAGCGCAACCAACATACTGCAATCGCACACAACAAATTCTTGCAGATCTGCGTATGGCTGGCGTGGACTACTCAATGTCTTCGTATGTCACGCATGTCATCAAAGGTCTACCGGCAAGCTACAATCTCCTTCGACGTATGGTGAAACTACCGGGTGTACGCGAAGAGCTCGATGAAGATACACTTTTGAGCTACACCATTGAAGAGGAGTTCACACTTCAATTCGAGTAGCGCAAGGAGCAACTTCTACCTCAAGTCAACTATGTCGTGTTGAAGCAGCACCGGAAGCAACAAAAGTGGGGAAAATCACACGGAGGAGGCGACAATGAAAAACAAATCAATCGCGCGAAGACGACCAAGAGCGACGAGCGTTCCGATGGCAGAAAGCGCAACTCTCAACGGTACTGATTTGTTTGTGGAGATCCAGCACTTCGCAAACCAGCGCCCCGATCGCGTCAACAAGGAGGCTGGCGATGGTCAGGAAGCTCCGCGTCAACCTCGTCGCGAAACCACAAGGTCAAACAACACTCTATTTCTAAGGACAAGCAGCAGTCAGATGCTGGAACCTTTCGCGGAAAAGGTGTAAAGGACGCCCCGAGTGACGACGCGCACTACAAAGGGCAAGCGTTGTGTTCAATGGTCGGCATG